AAATATACTCTATATTATTATGCAGTAAGAGTTTATTAAATAACTGTCCTGGAATAAAGGGAAACTCCAGGAAAAGAATATTCTTCCTGGACACCAGTTCAACATGCTCAGGTGGTATCTAAGCATGCTTAGTATAATCATGTCTCCATCAAGGAAGAAGTTGCATTTCAGTTACATCCAGTCTTTTGCCAGGTACTTCATAAATGTAGACAGCATTTTCATTAGTATGTGTCTATAATGTAAAATAAGAATGTTAATAAGTGTGTGCTGGGGGGAGAGGGAAAAAATGTTATAATACCAAAGACATTAAACTGTGGCATATGTGCTCAAAAACAAAAATAAAAACCACTCCTTTCCTTTCCCCCATCCTTCCATTCTTTCATATGGAGGAAAAGAGCATGGATTATATCCTCTATTCAAATTCAATTAAAAATGCTAAACAAGACTCATCAAAATGGGCTGGCAGAATTTCAGAGCAGCCCTGCCTTACCTTGATGCTGTTCCTTACCTTGCTTCAGGAAGGGACAAAGTCCTTCAGTCCACAGTTACAGATGTCTCCAACTGAGAACTTGACTCATTGGAGACTCTCAATAAATATATTTTAATTGACTTAAGAATTTCAGACTGTAATCTTCAAATTCAGAAAACAGTTTTTGTGAGTGTGTTTTGGTTAAAATCTTAATTCCACTAATATACCCAATCCACTGGTACGAGACCCATCTACCTTTGGGTCAGGGAAGTAAATATAACCCACAGGAGGACATGAAGTGCCTGGAAGGTAAAGTGAGGCCATCCTCTCTCAAAATAAAAAAAAGTACCCCCCCCAAGAAAAGTTAGCTTGATTCAAGGAAATAAAACTTAGATCCCATGATGTTGCTAAGAGTAAGCACTATTCATTGTCAACTTGGTAGAAACCAATAAAGCATGTGTATGAGGTACTTTTTAATCTTATAGCTGCAAAGCCAGGAAACAGTGTTTCACATGATTCATGAAATTTTTATTTTAGTCTTGAACACATTTCACTTCATAGAAAAGATCTACAGTCCTAGGAGTTTGATAGAGCTGTGGCTTAGATATCTGAAGACTGGCCAGTGAGCAGCACTGAAAATTATTGTCAGTCTTGCATGTAGCTATAAGAATCCTGAGAATGAGAGAAGCATAACATGTAACTGAAATTATGTTTAAATGAAAAAGCCAACACCTACACTCCAGTCCAGAGTCGCTCTGGGCTCCTTGGCTGGGCCATTTGCCACAGGAAGGCTGAGGGGATGTGCAGGAGCCAGATGCTGGAGGCCCGCCCGAGAGATTGCTTTCCTGCAGCAAGAAGAAAAGACACAAACAAAAACCAACATCAGAATCTCACGCACAGCTCAGCATTTCCCGTGGGGTAGAAATGGTGCCTGAGTCAGCCTTCCACATCTGAAAACCTTTACAAACGTATTGGACTCTACCTCTCTAAAGTGAATGGTGAAGAGAGACGGTGGCAGGTCCCAGAAGACAGGGAGGTTGAGAGTGCCACTGTAGGGATATATACTGCTTCAGGGCTACAAATTAAAATGTAAGCCCCTGTTCAGAGCAGGAATGGAGGTCTCTCCACTTATGGAAAAAGAACTGGGGCTTGGGCAGGTGCAATGCAGCTGAAAGTTCACTCTTACTCCTTTCTCTTCTCAACAACATTGTCCTTTACCCATCCTCCTTTACCCTTGCAGTGGACTACCTGAGCTTGAGGTTCTAAATGGGAAAAGACCAATTTGCATCTGTCAATAAATTGCACATGTTAAGAGACCAATATCTTACCAAGGTCCACAGTAAGAAAAAACCCAAATGCACTCATTAGACTTTAGGTTTTCAGGGTGGAGCATAACAGTATTCAGGTCTGGTTGAGAAAGTCAGACCTGACCTTGGTCTGCAAAGATAAGAAATAAGTGGAGCTGCTATAGCAGAACAAATATGACCATTGCTGAGCAAAGGGAAGGGAGGAGAGGCGAGAGCACAGCAGAGAGAACGGCAAGAAAAAATAAGAAACCAGAGATCACTTAGGGAGATCTTATGTATCCTCAGGAATAATACAAGTTCAGTTCTCAAATGGCCCCCTCAGTGTCACACAAGGGTCTCAAGCTTAAATGTGAGTGCATGGATGAACTAATGGCTCCCTGGAAGGGAGAGGGGCTTCCCTTTACAGTAGTGTCTATGTGTGCCTGGAAGGGAGAGGGGCTTCCCTTTACAGTAGTGTCTGAGAAGGACCTGAATTAGAATCGGATGGGTTTTGTGATACTGCAGCTGTGAGTCCTGCATCACTCTGAGGGTGAGGCACAGGGATTTGCATTTACACACGCAGGAATCCCAAAGTGTTTCCTTCTGTGTGCTAAAGTTTGCAAACTTTGCCCGATGGGAGCAAGGACATTTGGGCAGGTAGGACAGCAGTAACTTACCAAGTTGCATCAAAGGGGAGTTCTAGAGGAAAACATCAGCAATTTCTTTCTTTACTTCCAATTGGCTCTCTGAAGCTTGTCTCATATGACACAAACATTGCAGCAAGAATCTGCCATTTCTGAGACTGGACCTGCAGACATGCTGGCTCCCCAAGGGAGGCCCAGATCCCCAGACTCCTTTACCCACCTCACTAAACAGAGGAAGGAACAAGGCTACAGACAGTGGAATGGAGAAAAGGAAAGCAGTGATGCCAGATCTGTGGAGAATCCCATCATAACCAAGACAGTGAAGGAAAAGGAACTTGGCCCAGGAAGGGGCAGCAATAAGAGGAGAACCTAAAAGCTTTGTGGAACCCTAAAAGGCAGGTCTTCTCTCTGTCCTGTTCATTGACCTCTGAAAACTCCATCCAGGAATGGAATTTGTGAAGAAGCTAAGTAAGATGAGAAGTAGCTCCAAACCTGAGGAAAGGCTGAATCCGGTAAAGAATCCGGGATTGTGCAACCACGGACCAATTACCAAGTATGTCAGAGAGCTCAGCAAGTGTCTAGCTCTGTTCTTCTTTTGTATAGTCTCTTGTATTCCTACACAGGAAGTCCCAGAAATAGTGGAGAGGTCTTCAGTAGTTGGAAGCGATCATGTCAAACTTGCTGGTAGCCTACTTTCAAAAGCTCCCACTGGGCAGCAGGCAATGTACTTGCTTTATATAATCCTCCAAAGAGTCATCACAAGTATGGAGACCTTTAATGAAGACAGTCTGACGACACAATGCTCTGCTTCCTAGCTCTCACCAAGGCAAACAATTAACAACATCAGTTTTGGCCCCTCACCCCAAACTATATTCATATCACTGAGCAATAAGAAAGGAACAGTGGAACACTCGGATACGGTGATCCTTCATCCCCCAACCGGTTTCCTCCACCTAGTTGAAAAAAACTGTTTAAGCATTTTCATTAGAATTTTCGCTGGCTTTGAAGGCTCTGTATGATGACAATGAGCCATAGTTTCCATCACAAGAAAACCAGATCTCTGTGGAGTCAGGGTCTATAGGTTCTACCTTTGATTCCTTAACAGAACCTAAATTTAAGTGTCCTTACAAAAAATACCAAATGGTGCCTAAGTACAAAGCCATAGACTGGCTGAAGAATTCCTAAATCTTGGGTGAATGAGAAAAACATGAAGCCTTCATCTTTTCATGAATTGTCCCAGACAGTTATAATCAGGAGAGGAAGAGAGAGAGAGAGAGAGAGAGAGAGAGAGAGAGAGAGAGAAAATAAATTCTGCTATCACGTACCAGTAGAAACCACAGGACAAATTAGTTTAACTCATCAGAACTTGTACACTCTGACCACCAAAACCTGATTATTCTTCATAATTAGAACCACCAGGAGGGGCAAATTGTTCAAATAATGAAATTAGAATGCAAGGGATGTGTCTATAGAAGAGCAATGTGGCTGTAAGAGGCATTCAAACATTTATACCTGAATGAAATTACAGTCAAATCACACTCTCTTCTAGCCTGTGCATAGAAACTAGAACAGAAGGGCTTTTGCTGATCATTTATTCTTCATTTTGGTTGCAAATTTAAGTAATTTATGGAACATTAATAGAGGAAAATTGTATATCTACTATACATATAAACATTAATTAGGAGAAAAATAAGTAAGAAACATCAAAGTGGCTGCTAGTTTATAACTGCAAAAGGGTCTCACAAAAGAACAATACATAAGAAAGAGAACAGGAAAAAAATATTTAGATACTACAAGGGAATGGAAACTAACTTCTGATTACAGCTTTCCATTCTTCTAAATAACTATGGGAGAAAGTCCTTTTTTGCAATAAGTCGTATATGTATACACATTTTCTCTCCAAATAAGAAAGTAATTTCATTATATCTCAGACCTCAAATAAAATTAGTGTACGTTATTTTTCTATTTGAATTTACCTTGGTTGTGAAGATGACATTTAAGAGGCTAGTAGAACTTGGTATATGCTTGGGGATGGAGGGGTGTCAGTGGTTTTATGCTGCAATTTTTTCCAATGAAAAATCCATGGGGTTTCAGCTTTTAATTCTTTCCTCCTGCTCAGAACCCTCCCAAGCCCACAGTCAGCAAAATCTTGAGATACCAATGATTCTTTCTATTAATTTCACAAAACTTTGTAGGGGGTGGCTGTAATCATGAAAACATCTTTGAAAAGAACTGTGATATTAACTGTAAAATAGATAAGAAAAAAATCCTATAATATAGTTTCAAAAGCACAAAATCACAGTTAATGTCAATTACCTGACATGAAAGACCTCTGACATATTTAAAATATAAAAGCCATCATACATTTTAAATAGCATTCTATTTGTCCATCACTTCATTCAATAAGACTATAAACTCCTAAAGGACAGGGCTCAATTCATCTACTAACCTGATTACATTCTCGCCCAGGGGTAGACACAGAATATATTCAATAAATGCTTTGTGACTTAAAGAATGAACTTGACCAAGAAACTAAGCAAAACAGCTTGCTGATTAGATCAAGGGTTGAGAAATCTGGTTAGCACAATTTGAGTTATATCCCAGCCCTTACATTTCAGTAATATTCTTTCCTGAAAGGGTCAGAAATACCTCAAAGCAGCTCTTTTAAAATAAATGCAAATGAGGTAGAATTCAGTGTTAAGAAGCCTAAGACACAGCACAATGGCTTTGTGTGATCAACATTAAAACAGAATTTTATTGCTACAGCACTTGTAAAGGGCATCAGATAGTGTTAATATGTTTACAATGTATTTATTGAAAAAACATGCAGCATATCCTCTTTATAAACAGAATTTCTTAAAAGTTATGGAAAAACAGAGTAGAATAATGTTTACCAGGGGTGGGGGGGGAGTGGTGGACTACTGGGTACAAAACTATGTTATGTACCTAAGTGAATTGTTGTATAGTATACGCATGTATTGAAACATACTGTACCCCACAAATATGTACAAATACATGTTAAAATATATATTTTTTCATCTATGGAAAAACATGTAAATAAATGGCTATTTAGCCAGGATACCCTCTACTTATCCATGTTGCAAATTTCTCTCACTTTGCTCTGGTTCCACTCTGACTCCAGATTTATATGGCTCCCATATTCGATCCTTCCTGTCATACCAACTCTCTCTGAGGGATTCTACACATGAGCATAGAATGAGGATCCCACCTGCTGAGTGGAAGAGCACCAGAGAATCAGGAGGTCTCCTATCCACATCACTTAAAGATTAAAACATTATAGACTGGTGAACTCATCTAATTGTTCTAGAAAAGGAATTGGCTAACTAAAAAGTTATTCTGCACCTTGGTTTAATTCCCCAAGTGTCTAAAAGAACTTAATCGCTGTGTGTGTGTGCACTGATGTGTTTTTCTCCATACTACATAGGCACTAACTTTGCTTATATTCAAAGCAGCCCACCACGCTTCTCCGTTGACCTAGATGAGCTACCGCCAATACCAGGATAGCCCACACAATAAAAATTGTCCCAAGCCCTACACGAATCCCAAATATTCCACCAGAGGTTTACGTAGGGGAATAAACTACTTGTAATTATTTGAGCCTAAATCCTACTCCATATTACATATGAACTCAAAGTACTTTTTGATGATTTTAATGTCCATTGGAATTTTCAAGAACGTAATTACTACTGAAACAAAGATTTGCTGTGTTCAGTTTCCTAAGGGGTGTAAGTCACTCATAAAATCACTTTTGGTATTGAATCTTCAACACAACATATCGTATTACTCTACGTTTGTTACTTTCACAGTGATTCTGCAACAGAGGTACTCAGCCTTTGCCCACAATGGAGCTTGAGAATCAGTTCATTTAAAGTTTTCCAGGTATGTCTA